CGGGGAGGGAGGGGCCCAACCCTGACCCCAGCACTCGAGGGGCGGCCCCCCCAGTGCCCAGCACAGGGGCACGCTCCCTGCCCTGCTCCTGCTGGCCACACCACTCCTGATCCAAGCCAGGATGCTGCTGGCCCTCTTGGCCACCTGGGCACCCTGCTGGCTCCTATTCAGCCGCCTGTCAAATCTCACTGGGTCATAACAATAAAAGGAAAATAAACCTGCAGAGGATTCATTTCCCAGGCAAAGGACCTTCCAAGCGTTTCACTTGGCTCTGTGAGATTCCTGTCCTCCCACTGCTCTCCCTCACCGTATCGAGCCCCTTGGGCTGGGCGGGGGGAAGGCAGCAAACTTTGGTTGAGGCCTAAATGCGCCGGCTCGCCGGCCACAGGACGGGGTTACAGCATCTCTAACGAAGGAAGGGGCACGCAACCCCTGGCCAGGGAGAAGCTCCTTTCTCTGCCCTCTTTGAAAGGGTGGAAAAGACAGAGCATTTACTGCGCTTGCTTGTGCAACGTTACCGACAGGATTTCGACACGGCTCTGGTCTGGACAAGGCGAGAGGCCTGCAAGGTGAGGCCGAAGTAATCAAATGCTCATTTCCTCGGTCTTTTCAAACGAGGAATAAATGTCCCCAGCCTTTTCTAACCCATGTCACTTGGGACGCAAGCAGTTCGGCCTCTAAGATACAAACCGACCGGGTTCACGCCAGTCCTGCGCTGGCAGGGGGGCACAGCAAGATTTGAGCCGTGTCCAAGCCATGCTGAGAGAAGAGCGGCCCATCGAGGCCATCCTTCAGCTGGGCGACAAAGACCGCACCGCTCTGTCCCAAATAATCACCGTTATTTGTGTGCGTGGCTGCGGCCGGGTACCTGCACCCCGACTGTGGGCGAGCGGAGGGTGATGGCCGTCCCACCGGCACGGCATTGCCCCTGGGAACTGGGAGAGGGCTGGAAACCCTTCTCCTTCACAAGCTTGGAGGTGGGATGAAGGCTTCAGCAAACAAGGAGCTGGCCGAGGAGATAAATATCATTCCCACCTCCTTATTGCACAGCTACTCTGGTGGCCAAGGACAGGGAAGGCTTCAAGTCCAAGCAACACCAGGAACCTCCTTGCTGGCTGCTTTATCCCGTCCCTTCCCTCCCATTCCCCATCTCAGCACCGCCTCGGCTCCCCGGCCCCGGTTCCCAACCCCTGGAAAAGCAGGGATTCACCCAGCCCCCGGCACTAACCTGTTCTTTTCCATCTCGTTGTGTGTTGACCTGAAAAAGAAAGAAAAAACGATGAACTCCTCCGTCTGACTGGGTGTACCACAACTAGGATTAACAGGCGGGCTCCCTGGAAAATTTCAAACCTTGGGGGCTTTCAGAGCTGCCCAGTACCCTGGGGAGGGTGAAAATGGCGGGAGGGAGGCAGAGACAGCCCGGTGCGACGGCGAAATCACCAGCTAAATGATAAGAAAAGGGCCGGTGAAACCCTCAGATGGGATTTTAGCGCGGCGAGGTTCAGTTTTGGAATTAGGCCTAGGATGAAGCTGCTGTCTCGGCGGCATGACGCAAGAGAGGGTGAGCCATCCAAAACGCGAACGCTCTCGGGGCTCGTGGTGGAGAAGGGGAAGCAGCCACCCCACACCGCAGGCTCGGGGCCGAAGGGCTGATCTCTGGGCAGGGGGGGGGAAGTTGCTCCATCTCCACGCAAACCTGCAACCCAGCCTCTATCAGAAAGCAAGTGGGTTTTTGGAGAGCACCGGCGCCCCGGAGCACTTTTTTTTTTTTTTTGAAAGCAGCTTTTTGAAGACTTCTTGCACAAGAAGGGCAGAGAAAGCAAGAGGAGTATCTGCAATTCTTGGCACGTAAAAGCAAAGAGCTGGGGGCAGACGGCTCTGGGGCAGCTCGGTGCCACTTCCGGGGAAGACGTGCTGCTTTTTGAAGGCTGTGCGGTGTCCGAGCGGTCGCGTCTCAGGCCGGGAGCCCCAGACCAGCTCAGAACACGACGGCCATACAAGATGGCGACTGGGAGCCCCCAAAGTCCCAATGGCCTCTGACGTTCGTGCCTGCCTCCGCTGCTCCGCTGCTCGTCCCTCTGCGAAACTGGGGCGAGCCATTGGGATGACGCGTCCAGAAAAGGTTCCCCGCGTCCAACGAGGGGTTAGCACCTCCTCACGAGAGGCACCAAACGTTGACGCTGAAACCCAGGCGGGCGTTACGTCCACTTACAGACTCCCCTGAAGCGCCTAATTTCGACGAAGGGGCAGCAAACACAAGCTGCTGGTTATTTTCTCTCCGTCAAAAGCTGGGGCAGCTGCACGAGGCCACGCTGCCTGGGATGGCAGGACGGACTCTTAGGGAAAAGCTGCTTCCTCAAGGGGCCACCTACTCCAGTTTAGGGAAATCGTTATTACGTGCTGGAAAATTTAACGATGAGAAAAATCCACAGGCTTGTTCGATAAGGATGCCTACCTGGAAGCCCCCATCAGCTCTGGGAGCGCTGGTTTCTCCCAGGCTGCGATGCCAAAGGAAACACAAGGGATGCCACCGATGCAGTGGGTGAAGCCGCTCGCCGGGGGGGTCTCCGCTTCGCCAGCGGCAGGTCACGGTGGATCAACGGCGCTCAGGGAGTCACCGCAGCCCCTCTGCCCGGCTTTCTAACGAGAGTCATCCTAGCCCGGCGCCTTCCGTTCGCTTTCCAGCGGCACCGGTTGAAGCGATCGGCTCCCAAAGGCCAGCGTCCCGCTCGCAGGCGATCGCAGAGAGTCCAAACCCATTTGACTGCAGCCGAGACGCTTCTCACTCGAAACGGGCGGGCGTTATCCTGGCATGCAAGGAACTGGCGAGTCCTCCCAAGCTGGGAATCCACAGACTCAGGTCTTTGGCTCCCATGGGATCTCTCCATTGAGCTTTTTTCTGGATCAAAGTCCTGCGTTTTACACCGAGCCCTTCGCCGCGGCGCTGGCAAACCTCACACAAGGCGATGAACTGCAGTGAGCCCGAGCTCCAGCCCTCGTTGTAAAGAAGCCAAACGCTTTTTGAGCATCGGTGCTGTCAGAGATGAGGGCACCCCTTGCCTCCACGCTTTGATGAATAACAAACTCATTCCCTCTTCCGTCGCTTTGTTTCAGAATCCTTCGTAGCATGGGGTTATTTGGGTTTTTTTGGTATGCATCCACAATCGCTAATATTTATAAAAAAGGTTCCTTTAGTCGATGGATTTTATTTTTGGATAAAATGAAAGGGGTCAGGTGATGCGAGGGGAGCGCAGCTTCACCCCGGGGCTGGCAGAGCGCTTCGCCGTGTGCCCCCAGACCCCTTTCCCAGCACCTTTGTGCCCATGGAGTCGCCGATCAGCGCCTCCCGCTAACCAAAACCTCGCCCATCAGCCCCAAAACTTCAGCTGCCCGCCAGCGTTGCCTTCGCAACGTGGTCTTTTCTCCTGCAGACCCTAACAAAAGGTGGTGGTAACGGCATGGGCTGCAGCTACAAGTTCTCTTTTTAACACAATGCAGACCTTTGCTCCGCTGTTCTGATTTGCCTTAAGTGAAGAACAAGCTCCAAATCTTCCGAACAGGAAATTCGGAGCGTGTGCAGGCGTGACAAACGCCCACGAATCCACTCGGAGCCTGTTTGAGACGAGACCGAGAGACCTCACCTGCCTCCTGCTCCCTCAGTGGGAGACCGGTGGCCCCGAAACCCTGGCGGGGAGGGAGAAGGAAACACCCCGGCTCGGGGAGACACCGGGATTCAGGAGATGAACAAAACCACCGGGGCGTTCTGGGCGGTATTTGTTGTCACAGCAGCTATCAAAGGTCAGCTGTCGCTGCGTCACGCAGAGGAGTTTGCTCCCGACCAGGAAAATGTGACATATCTGGTGACATCGCCGCGTTGCTCCTCCCTGGGCAAACAGCCTAAAATAGGCCAGTGAGAAAAGGAAGTGATCGGCCGCCGGTGACGTGTCGGGATGAACCTGCCCGGGCTTCGCTCCGCCCGGCAAAGTTTCCCTCGTAGCTGTTTTGAGGGGCTTGGATGTGCGTGTCCTGGCACAGAGGCAGCATTCCCGTGACAGCCTTCCCAAAAAATCAGCCGATCATTTCACCTCGACGACGCCCCAAGTGATTTTTAACGTGATTAAAGCGACCGAATAAACCACAATGGGTGCTGGAAAGAAAGGAGTCGGCACGGTGACTCCGGTTTGCACCGCGGCACCAGCGCCGGCTACGAGGCGGCGGTGTCTGTTGTACAAAACAGGAGAAGAAGCGAATAAAAGGCGACACGGGAGCGTTAAGCAATTAATCTACAGGCCTGAGAGGCATAATTAAATACTCCCTGAAAAAGAAAAAAACAAACCCCAGGCCGGTGGGACTCGCTCCTTCAGAACCACGCAGCTGCCTGGATCTGACTTTGACTCGGACAAACGGTGTTTTAGCGTTCCCGAGAAGGGGCTGCGCATGTAACATCAGCGAGGAGCAACCCGCGTCGAGGCTCTGGATGGATTTCAGGGAGGATAATTAAGGAATTCCCTTTTTTGACAGAAAAGCAGCACTAAGTGAGTTAACCGAAGCGTTGAGCAAAACCCCGTGCTTGGCCAAAAGCGTGTTAGACAAAAAAAAAAAAATAATCTCGCTTTCTTTATGGAGAATCCTCACGGACTGAGAGCGGTTTCACTTCTCGAGCTTCGGCGCAAGCAAGCCTGAAATCAAAAGCCCAACTTCCACATTCCCTTCAGCAAACCCATCCGCCACGTCAGACGATTGCACATCTCGTACCCAAGTTTGCCCAAAACAGGAGGTTTTTTCACCCCCTCACGTCTCACCGGGATGCTCCAGCGAGACACCGGCCCGGCGTGGTGGGCGCCCCATCGATGCGAATTTGGGGTGCTGAGAGGAATCTCTCGCTGGAG